ACACTGTATATATGTGAATCTGTTACATGAGTGTAGTTCATTGAGAAGGTCATCAGTGCCGTATTGAACTACGACATCTATTTTTATCTTGTCATGTGTTTATATGTTCGATCAATTAATCAATCAATTGGAAGTACAGGTATCTTGGATTTTTAAAAATGATATATATATATACACACTGTATATATGTGAATCTGTTACATGAGTGTAGTTCATTGAGAAGGTCATCAGTGCCGTATTGAACTACGACATCTATTTTTATCTTGTCATGTGTTTATATGTTCGATCAATTAATCAATCAATTGGAAGTACAGGTATCTTGGATTTTTAAAAATGTAATTTGTTTTTGTGATAGTGTATTTTAATCACTGTTGACGTGAAGTTTCTGTACCTTTTTTTCCCCATACCTTTTCATCACTAGCTGTGAGTAATTTCCATTTTATAACTGAAAGGAAGCACTTGAGAACTCAAAGGACAGCGTTATGAACAGCGACTGAATAAATACGCGAGCGAGCGCATGCGGGACTGCGTTCGCGTTTCCGCTGATCTGAGGCTTCGCTTAAAAAAGTGACATTTTAAATACTCAGTGCTGAGCCATTCATCACGTAGGTCAAACACATCGAACTTAACTTACCAGCGAGAACTTTAACAGTCACATTCACTCATACGGACACATTTTTTTTTTTTTCAATGTGATGATGACACTCTGAAAAATACCGAAAGCAAAACATAATTGAGGAACAAAATGTCTTTTCCCAGCAGAGGTACCCTTAAAAGGTTCGCCATTTCTACACCAATGTACATTTCCTGCCTCTGCACATGAAAATACAATAATTGATTGATTGTGTCTGAAATGTGTCTGATAGCAATCAGACACATTTCGTAATCTCTTAACAGTTTACGATAAAAAGGTACACATGACCCAAACGGGAGCAGTGGCATGTCTCACCGCTCTCATTGGTGTTGATCATGCGGCTGACTCCCGGGTTGATGTTGGTTGAAGACGTTGCAGTCAAAGTCAGCGTGTATGGTGCGGACGGACTTACACTGTCGACATCAGCCTGAGGTCAATCAAACAACAACACATCATGCTTCAACAGAAATCACCGTCAACAAGATATCATCGACTTTGCGCATTGCAATTAGGGACAGTTTATGTAGGTGAGAGCGACCGATTGAAATCATTTCCTTTGTGTCATTTTTCCTGATGAATGAGTCACCTTTTTGAGGGCCTCCACTTGCAAAAAGGGGTTCGATGGCCCATTCTTTGCTGTGTGAGGCTTTATTTTAATAGATTTTTTTTTTAACTCAAATGATGAGTTATCTTGACTAAAGCCGAATGCTTTCCGATGCTGATAAAACTGATCACTGCCAGATAAACATCTCTCTTTTTCGCAGAATATAAAACATAGCATATCATAATTTGTGCTGGGATATTTCTGTTTTATGCGGGGAAAGCGGTACGTAATTTGTCAGAACATGAGAGGTGATGGGAGCAACAATAAAGCATAAAAGCAGAAATAATGGGCTGTGGCAAAAAAAAAAAAAAAAAAAAAAAATGTGACAGGGTAAACAACGGCTTGCCAAGCAAAGTGAGTGCTTCAGATGAAAAAGCACTCTCCCAAAATGCAACAAAGGCAATAAGTGATTCTGTTTGCAAAATAACACATTGGTAACGATGGGAAGAAATTGACACAATCACCATGTGGTCACGTCATCATTTGATATTGCGCAGCATTACGAACACATACATGACAAATTATGCTGGTTTATTGATATTGTAACAGAGGCTATTACTTTTTTCACATACGGATAATTGATGTGAATAGATTGCATAGTTGTACCTTGTATTATTCCAATGTTATACGTTTTAGCGGGAATGTTAAGAAATATTCATGAAATTGCCGTATACTCAATAGCGCAACAACATTAGCTGACATTACTTTTATTCCTTATTTTGTGTTTTGGGTATCTGTCGAATTAATTGAAGTGACTCTTGCGTGGATGGATGGAGATAGATAAATAGATAGATAGATAGAACTTGAGATTGGGCCTTACCTGTGAGTGAATGGGAGCCATGCAGAGTGCGAGCAGCAAGATGCGATAAAAGAACGCCATGACGGAAAACCCAGTAAAAGGTTTCACTCTCGTGCTGAAATGCATCCAGAGTCAGTTCAGGTAATCCACACGTCTGAAGAAGGTCTACAAGCTGCTCTGTGCCATGACTGAACCTGTCAGAGTCAGTCATGGAGGAAAAGAGCCAGAGCTACAGTATTCCAAAGGTTTGGCCTTAATGACAGAAGACAGTGAATGCTTTAATTCTCTGCTTGGGCAAATGAAACATTCAGGGTTGAGCTGAAGCCAACTCAATAAGTCATGGGATCTATTACTCAGCCTTGTGTGTGTATGTGTTGGATAGGGTTACATTTTCATGAGTGGGGGTATGGGACACCTGGTAGCCGGTAGGAACCAGGATTGGGTGGAGCTTGGCTGAATGTGTGTGGTACAATTCTGCACTGTAATGTTATGTCTGACCACCTGAAGACGTGTGATGCATTGGCTGGGGCGAAATTCATCATGTATGTGAGTGTGAATGTCCCTGAACATATCTATCACGAGCCGGGTGCACTCTGACTTTCCCCTGATTTGGCTATAGGTTGACTTGGTTATGATCCACACAGCCTGCAGCCTCTTGCCATCGCACAGAGAAAGCTCACACGAGTGGGCACTTAAGAGAAAGAAAGGGAAGACATTATTGGACGTTGGAGAATTGTGGGTGCTTAACTGAAATACCGTGTACTCTGCATCCCCGCGGTGATGGTCGCGAAGGCAGAGCGCTCCGAAGTGGCGCCCCTCACATCGTAAGTGCAAGCCCCCCGCCAGCCCTGTAACCACGGCAACTCTCTCTTCCTTCGGTACGCTGAGTGTGCCAATGGGAACGCAAATGTCTGCGATGGTGACTCTGTGGAAGTCAAAGTCCCCAGAGGCCATGTCCCAGCTCATGGACACGGATGTAACGTTAACATGTACCACGTGGAGGTCGCACATTCCTGCAGGGCCCAAAAAAATATGCTAATTGTGCTCCAGTCCAGTTAAAATGCAGATTTCATTTTACTATATTCAACCACAAGGTTTCTGTTGAAACATAGGAGAATGTTTCAGTGGCTTACCATAATATAAAATATAGTTTTCAGGAAAAAAAAAAATGTATCTCTCTCTCTGTCTCTCTCTATAGATCACACTATCCCGCTTCCCTCCATCGTGCAGGAAATAATGTTCGACCACTTGGAGAACCGCTATTGTCATTATTGCCAATGTGCATCCATCCATCCATTTCCTAATCCAATTATCCTCACAAGGGTCGCGGGTGTGCTGGAGCCTATCCCAGCCGTCTTCGGGCAGTAGGCGAGGCACACCCTGAACTGGTTGCCAGCCAATTGCAGGGCACACATCGACAAACAACAACCATTCACACTCACAATCACACCAGACTATTTAGAGTGTTCTATTAAACCTGCCATGCATGTTTTTCGAATGTAGGAGGAAACCGGATACCCGGAGAAAACCCACACAGGCACGGGGAGAATATGCAAACTCCTCACAGGAAGGCCGGAGCCGGAATTGAACCCTGCACCTCTGCAACTGAGAGGCGGGCCTCCTAACCAGTAGACCACCATGACGCCCTATTAGTGGGAGTGTCTTTTGGAAAAATAATTCCGAGAACATAGCGAAAACATCACAAAGTTGGCAACACCGCAAACACAAGTCATAGCTCTTGCTCGCGACCTCGCTTGTCCTAGAATCCGCGTGTGCACATAAATTAAAAACACAATTTTCAAAATAAAAACAGTTTTTCATTTTACTTTACTGACTTCATAGTCACTGTGAGGGCCGGTCAGTGACTGCAGACCTGAATGTGGCTCCTGGTCTGTAGTCGGACCCAGGGATCAAGTGCCGGACCCTGGCTGGCACCTTGGACAACACACACACACACGCACACGCACACACACACACACACACACACACACACACACACACACACACACACACACACACACACACACACACAAAAAGGCACACCAGAAAATAAAGTCTCAGTTCGGGACAGCATTTTGAAGAGCGCTTGGTCATTCCTCTTGGCCGAGGCTCTCGGGGGATCATACATCTTTAAATGACTGGAAACTCAATCTGTCATGTGCTGAGAGCGGTTGCTTAGTAACTAACAGGTGAGCCCGGAATGTGACGCAAATGGGAAGAAAGACTTTTTTTTTTTTTTTTTTTGGTCTTCGATAGATGATGTCATCAAGTAGTGCTTGATGGATGTGCCACTTTGTAAGCGTCCACCTATCCTGGCGGGCGTCCCCAGGGAACAAACACAGAGACTGCCACTTTCCCCGTCAGCACCAATTTCAGGCTGCGCTCCAGGGACTGAAGATGAGACAACAAAGTGACAGCATCGATGAACACTTTGATTTTCAACGTTTCTTATTGACTCAATAAAGAAAGAAGCTCACTTTAGCAATTTGAGCGCTGGAAATCCACTATCCATCCATCTTCGCAACTCATATGTCCTAGTTTAAAGGGGTGTTCGAGTGTTAATTTTGCTCCAGAAATCAGAAAAGTCTGACTTCTCACCTTCCTCAAATGCAACATAAGATCAGAGTCACACCTAGGTGGGGGAAAAAAACCCCCCAGCCCCAAAGCATGATGCAGCCACCACCGTGCTTCACTGTAGGTGTGGTGTTTTAGTGTAGTTTGAACATTTATGATTTGTAGACTATTAACATAGGAAATGTAAATAAAAATAAAAATCATAAAAGTTGGGGGGCGGGGCGGCATCAATTAATGGCGTTTTCTTGGGATTCACATCCCTATAGTAGTGTACTGCACTAGCATAGGGTAGTGCCCCTTTAAGAGAGATCATGTACAGTATTTACTTTGATACTGGCAGATGAAAGGTGAGGGCAGTGTGACACAAAAATGTAGTGAGGAAGTATCCCTGTCCCATGGTGTTCCTCTGAAGGGCAAAACAGTCCGTCCAATCGATTGCCGGTAATGATATCATCCTACTGGAAAGGTTAAAGCCATCCGACCAAGAGTTGTCCCTCGTCCTGTGGGAGAAAAATGACATTATGGCAAAGAAAGAAAAATGAAGGGGACGGGATCTGGAGCAATTCACAGTGCAAGTTGAATATGATCCACATTGCAAACGCGTTAAAATAGCGGTATCCAAACTATGGCCTGGGGAGTGGATCGTCATCCGTTTTTTTCCTTTTTTTTAGTAGACTTATTGTACATTCATACATAAGATAAGGTAAGAAAATGTATTATTATTTGTCCCACAATGGAGAAGTTTGCATTGTACATTGCAAAGAGATCCTGCAGTCGAGACAGCCTGCAAAGGCACCAACAGGCTCAGGATACACCTGCAATGATTGCACTTTATTTTGGCTCTCCATGAAAAAAACAAACAAGCAAAAAAAAAACAAAAAACTTCTTACCAGGCGATTTCTTGCTGTTTTGCGAGTCACTGTAAAGCCGTCTAGACTTTTCATTGAGGGAAAGGAGGGGAACAAGACGTCGAGCTCCACAGGGTTTGAAGGCTGCTCCCAGGCAAGCCAGACGGCCTGAGAAAGAGCAAAGTCACGCCAGTGCTTGAAGTGAATAACAACAACAACCTTACCTGTAAGAAACTGGCAAACAGCCAAAGATGCTCTGTTGTACCAATCGAAAGAGTCATTCCATCTCACCTTTCAAACCGCTGTGACAATCATTTGTGTGTGTGTGTGTGTGTGTGTGTGTGTGTGTGTGTCTGTGTGTGTGTTTGAAAGAGTTCTGGCTTCCATTTTGGATTAAGAGCACTTGCCATGACAACTCAGAGCCACTCCACAATCTGACCCCTGAGGGCAAGCAATGAGGGAAGAAATGGCAATTTTAATAAATTCACACACAGAAAATGCAGAAATGCAATCCCACTGTCGCAGTGTGTGTGTGTGTGTGTGTACCACACTTAAGAAGCACAGTGCGTGAACGTGTTTGTTTGGAGAGACATCATTTTCGCATACAGAACACGAGCTGGAACTGTTACCATAATCTGAAATGTGAGTTGTGGTGGTTTTGACAGAGATGGCCAGTGTGGCGGCCCCACTTGGCCAACAGGGGTGACGAGAATGTGAAAGGGGGGAAAAAAGTCAGCGTGAGCCTCATGAGAAGTTGGGATATGGAGAAGTGACTCCAACAATATCCTCTCAGAGATAAAAATTGCACATGTGGAATCAGGTTGTTTGCTCAAAGGGACTAGTCCTAAGTCATCAAAAAATATGCCGCAAAATGTAAAAAAAAAAAAATTATGCTACATTGTAAAAAAACAAACAAACCCAAATGTAAACCTACACAATGGAAAAAGCAGATTTTTTAAATGGTTTAAAAACATACGGTGTCATTGTTGTGCGGGTTGTTCACCACAACACTTAGACAACCGAACGTTATGCCAAGTTTAATGTTTCTTTTTATTATTTTCGGATTGCTCACTTCCGAGTGGTCACTGCCCACTGTTCACGCTTGTGGAATTATTAACTGCAATTTGGGTAGGTTTGTGACATGACATCAGCGCAAACACAGCCATACTGGATACATCCTTTGAGATCTACTTGGAAACAGATTGAGAAAGGCATTAAATCCTAATTGGGCTCTTGGGCCTACGGTGCAAATGCACCCTGAAATAACCACTGCGGCAAGGTAATAATTCAGACAAAAACACATTTCAAGCTTTATTCCCCTATTCGGATGCATCAGTAAGAAATTGGGAGGAGACTGGAGTATTATTGTCTGTACTGTACTTCGATAGAAAAAAAAAAAGGTTAACTCATCCATTGATAATCTCCCTTGGAAACATAGATATATGATTAATATTTTTGGGCTTACAATGACAAGTTATTAGAATTAAGCAGAGAGATCCTCTCGGTTGAGTGGATTGGCAGAGTGAATTTCAGTATATTTTTGTGTTTCATAGGAAAGATAGTGTGCATTTTTTAACAACAGCTTCCAGGTATCTTCGTTATAATACCCCAAGGATCACAAAGTACACTTTGCATGACTTACTTTGTATTTTCTGTCTGTTCTTGGGTGCCGACCTCCATCCCACCCCATATCGTGTGAGGGGCCGGTGCTTATTATCATTAACCTTGAACCAGAAAACCACATTAGGAAGCACTTGGCAATGCGGGCAAGGAAGAAAGCTCGGGCAGGACTCGAGCTCTGTAGGGTGCCCATCTGATCCGCAGGTCCTTCAAAGTCGTAACTACAGTATTTGTATGCAAGCAATTAAAAAAAATCAAATCCTTAATATGTCCCCTTTGAAGCATTGCATTATCTTCACCTCTACGTGCTGTTCAAAATCTAATACGATACCTTCCATGTATTATGTCATTCATGCGTCACAAATCTCGGAGCCCTCCGTTATATCCCTGCCGGAAGCCTTCATTCAGTTCCACTGGCAGGTACAGTCAAGGGGCTCTTGGAAGTGGTACACCACGCTGGTGGCGTTGCGTGTACAGTAAAGTGCCACCGAGCGGGACTGCAGTCCGTTCTCGCGGCAGCACTTGCAGAACCTGGCGTGGGTGTTGATGTTGAAGTTGAAGATGGTGGCCGACGGACATTTGCCGTCACAGGAGAAGACTGTCACCTGTCAACGAGGCCGGGGTAGAGCATGAAGGCTCACGTACTGCGATGTAGTAATTATCTGAACAATGATGCACGATATGACGGGACAACACTGTCCTGTGGTTGTGTATGTGTGTTTTCTTACCGGTGTGTTGCTCCTGCAGTCGTCTTTACGTATAGTGGTCCGGATGGCCACTCGCTTGCACGTCTTACCGTCGTCTTTGCCTGTGGTTCGGTTCACAGAAGACCACAAAAGGAGACTGAATCAGACATCGTTTTGGGGTATATCTGCGCTGTCTAATGCAATCCAATCCAAGAGCTTTCAGTTCATTTGAAACAGTTACTGTGTACCTCGAGCGGTCAGCATGAGTTATCATTGGCATAAATGATGATGAAGGACACACACACACACACACACACACACACACACACACACACACACACACACACACACAC